CCGGAGAAGCGAAAGAGAGGAGAAGGACCTGAATAAAAGGCAGGGAGAACAGACACACAGAAGAAGAAGAAAAAAAAACGATAAAACAAAGGAATAAAAAGGAAAAAAGGGGGAAGAAGAGAGACGAGAAGAAGAAAACAATCGACATGCTGAAATTCAGAGTGACGAACAGCGTGAAGGCGAGGAGAGCCGCTGAGGCCCAGAGGAAGGCGCTGGAAGAGAAGGTGAAGAGGAAGACGAATTAGTCTTTTGGGGGAAGAGGAGGAGGAGGGAGAGGAGCGGGGGGAGGGAGGAGGGAGGAGGGAGAGAGGAGGAGGAGGGGAGGAGGCTAGATGGAGAGGGAGGAGGGGAGGGGAGGAGTAGGGGCAGGGGAAGGGAGGGGCTGAAGGGAGGAGAGGGGCTAGGGGGAGGAGGAGGAGGAGGGGCTAGGCGGAAGGGATATAGGGAGGGCGTATGGGGAAGAGGAGGAAGGGGGGGCTAAAGGGGAAGGGAGGAGGAGGGCTAGGGAAGGGAGGAGGAGGGGGATAGGGGCTAGAGGGAAGGAGGAGAGGGGAAGGAGGACGTAAAGGGGAGGGGGGCTAGGGCAAGGGGAGGAGGGGCTACGGGGTAGGAAGAGGAAGCAAAGGGGGGGGGAGGAGGAGCAAGAAGAGGAGAAGGAGGAGGAGGAAGGGGGAGAAGGGGGGGAAAGGAGGTGGAGGAGGTTAGGTCCGTGTTGCTTATGCAGCAGGAAAACATTTGGATGATCATGTCACAACATGATTTTTTGAAATATATTTGGACTATTGTGTGTTTGAAGTTGGTTTATCGAACAAATGAATGTGGCTTTTTTGTGAGAATATTGATCACAATTTGGACAAATATTCTACAAATAAGGTATTTCAGAAATAGTATCGTCAGCTTTGAATTATTTCTTATCTTCGTTTCCTCTATTTTCTGCTTTCAGCTGCAGCTGGAATGGGCCTGGAAGCCAATGGCCGCCATGATGAACGAGAACCAGACGGATTTAGTTTACTGGATCCCTCCCCTGTACAGCTCCAACATCGTCACGACCACGAGCGTCCACACCCGCCGCCCTTCCATCACCGCACGCCCGCACGCCCTCGCGTCCTCGACTCAGAGGAAAAAGAAGCTGTCTCGCCGGCGCGCGAAGCTCCTGTCGTCGGACGACAGCTACGAGGACGTGAAGGACACAGACACGCTGGTGGACGTGAACGAGCTCAAGGACGACGACACTGAGAGCGGCATTCACGACGACACGTTCGACACCTCGACGGACGACACGTCGACGCTGAATATCCAGAGCATCGAGGAGGAGGACAAGCTGATGGAGGACAACGACGACTCGACCCTCGAGACGAGCAGCATGGTCACCACGATCGCCGAGGAGTCGTCCAAGGCCTCGCGGGAGCAGTCGGAGGCCAAGCGCCAGAGCAAGACGCCGAGCAAAGGCAGCTCGAGGCCCACCATCCTGAGGCTGCTGGACAAGATGTCGCACCTGCACGGCATCCCCGGCAACCCGCTGGCCAGCAAGGCGAAGAAGCCGGCCAAGACGCCCAAGGAGCCGCGGGCCTTCGAGAACAAGAAGGCCCGGCGGCCGTCGGTCAAGGTGTACCACAACCCGCCCAAAGCCCGCCTCTCGAACCGCAGGTCGAAGGCGACCCAGATGGACGGCGGCGAGGAGCCCTGCATCATCGTGTCGCTGGACCCCAACGCGGCGCCGACGAAGGTCCCCGCGGCGGCGGCGGAGATCCTGGTGGAGTCCCAACCCAGCGTGAAGGAGCAGGCAGATCCCGCAGCTGTTCGGCACGCCCAGCTGCAGATGATCCTGCGGCTCCTGGCGCAGCTCTACGAGGAGAAGGTGAGCCGACAAGACACGGAGATCCAGAACCTGAAGACAAAACTCCAGACGCAGGACAAGCTGATGCGGCAGATGGCTCACCTCGTCCTTGGCTTGAAGGAGGAGGTCACGAAGCTGAAGGGCCACTGCGGCGTGGACGCGCGGCCGCACAAAGACAAGCAATACAACGTTCTGAGTATTAAAGTTGGAGATACTGAAACCATTAGTTGTTAGGCTGTATTTCCAATTCGTTTGCGTCTATAAATATATAATGTTAAAAACGTTTATTTCAAAAATATATTTTGATTCTAAGATACATTATATTTAAGCGATATAATAACAATTTATATTCAGACACCAATAAAAAAAATCCTCAAATAATCAATCCTGATCAAAAGGAAGAATTTTTTTTCTTTTTGTAAAGTGTGATACTGTTTATATATCAAATCTCTTGATTTCTTTTTTCGGCTTAATCCTTTCCGATTCAATATTCACCAAATCGTGTTGTTTTTGTAATATTCCAGGTACATATTATAATTGCTCACGCTGGAAGCTGTGGTATGTTACTTTAAGTTAACATACCATTATATTTGCGTGTTAAAAAAAGACATTTTGGTTGTATTTCCCATGCTATATATCGACTCTAAGAATTAGTCTTTAAGTAATCAATGTTCAGACTTATAAACGGGTTTTATGAGTCCCATTTGCCGACAAAATCATGTGTATCATTAATTAGAAAAATACATGAAAAATAAATAACCCTCAGTGGCCAGTTTGAGATTAAGCAGGTGTGTAAATATTAAAAAATAATTTTCGGTTATTATCACCGTGAGCAGTGTTGCCACCGGATGTTCTCTGTAAAAGGGAACACGAAAGCCTCTTAACTTTACCAGCAATCTAGTCATTTGTATGTAGGCGTTAAAACAGCATATTCATGTGTTTGTTTTTTGTTCTGGAGACATTGTAATATACTATTGATGAATGTTGTATATTACTTATGTTTATAAGCGTATGTATATGTATATATGTTTGTAAGTTAAGGATTGCATGTGCATAATGTTGCCAGACTCAGATTATTTATCTTATAAATGATGTTGAAGACAATCTCAGATGAATTTATCTTTAAAATGTGTTAAAAAGATTTGACTACTCAAATAAAATCTTATTGTGTATCTCTATCTACCATATTATTTCAATTCCACCAGTTAAAAATCCATTACAAACTGCAAAAAAAAGAAAAAAAACTATAGGAAATATATTACTGTCATGTTTAATGAATACGCATTAGAAAAAAATGAAGAACATTATTAATCGTATACGTGGTACAAAGAATCTTAGCCTAACAATGCAGCTGTGTGCCATGGTGTACACACGATCACCAATGTACGATGGAAAGAGATGGAATGAAGAGCTTAAAAATGTCAAGTAAATGAATGATATTTTTTAGCATAAAAGGACAATACTAAGATATGAAAAGCTACGCCCACAGAGAGAAAGAGAGTGAGAGTGAGTGAGTGAGTGAGAGAGAGAGAGAGAGAGAGAGAGAGAGAGAGAGAGAGAGAGAGAGAGAGAGAGAGAGAGAGAGAGAGAGAGAGAGAGAGAGAGAGAGAGAGAGAGGAGAGAGAGAGAGAGAGAGAGAGAGAGAGAGAGAGAGAGAGAGAGTGAGAGGAAAGAGAGAGAGAAGAGTGAGAAAGAAGAAAGAGAGAGAAAATGAGAAGAAAGAGAGAGAATATGAAGGAAGAATAAGAAAGAGAGAGAAAAGGAGAAAGAGAAGGAGAAGAAAGAGAGAGAATATGAGGGAAGAATAAGAAAAAGAGGAAGAAAGAAAAAAAAACGAGAGAGAGAAAGAAGAACTAAAGAGGTGAGGGGAAAGAATAGGAGAGGAGGAGCCGGGTGAGAATAGAGGCAAGAAAATGTCTCAAACTTTTCTCATAAAGGCAATTAGGGGTCGCGCTGGGAAAATGTCTTTCGGATAAAGATGACACAGACGTCGAAAGGGTAGCCAATGGCCCTTAAAGAAAAAAGAAAGAAAGAAAGAAAAAATGACCGTAATATTAATGACACATTCAAAAACACTGCCTCGGAAGCTTTAAATACCCATGACGTCACCTTTTGAATTCGCAAGGTCAATGGATTCACGCAGTCACCAGATGGCAGCCTCGATTCTCAAGATTTTCTCTCTAGATGACTAAAAGAAATAAGAAAAAAGAGAAAGGAAATAAATCAAGGAATGAAATGGTGATGATGTTGGTGATTGGCGATTGGGTAAAGCGTTGGATTTTCATTAGAAGAGTCCGATTCAGAGAAAATTGCAAGGTGGCAACAGCTATACCGTGGTGGCATACCGAGCACACCTTTTCGACCGCCAGAGAGAGAAAAAACAACAACAACACAGACTTTGAACCTTAGAATAGGAGAATAAGGCGATAATGGGACACCACGATCGCCCTGTATCAAAACGTTTCATTATCTCCTACGATTACATTAGATCAGAAATCCTCAGAATAAATCTCTTTCCATTAATATTCTCCAGAGTGCGACGATGGGCGGGCTCTTTCCTTATAAGAATGGACATAATCCTCATAAAACCCACTTGAAGACCGAAGCAGGTGACCTATTGAACAGAGAGAGTGCCTTTGCTGATGATTCAAGCATGAGCATACTTCAGCCGCTTTGCGTCATCAACACGTCATCCCTGATCCCTACGTCACCTCTGAGGTCATCTCTGACGTCACCGAAGCGCCACTCCCCCTGACCATAAACCGTTAAAAATTTCAACCCTCCAGAGAATACTTTTCTTGCATAAATTTGGTTATTCATTCGAGGCAAAAGGCCAAAGAAATATTTCCAATGAGTTTCAGAAAATCATACAACTTTTGAAGTCAGGATAATGACTAAACACGAACATGATGGCGAATTAGCGTCATTGCTGAGGGCGAAGGCAAGCATTTGTGCGTGTAAATAGAGCCTGATTGCTTGCAGAAGTCACAAAGTTTCTAATAAGAGCGTGATTAACATCAAGAGAGAGAAAATTAATTACTTAAACAGTTGGCTCCCTAATCAACTAATTCATTTTCAACGAGGAACGGGGGAGGAAAGAGCAAGAGAGGAATATATATATATATATATATATATATATATATATATATATATATATATATAT